ACTCCCTGATTTCTTGTGCTTGGTGCCCGCTTCCCATCTGGGTACTTGGGTCTTAGTATGAAGAAATTTCTTCTCTCAAATCTTCAGTCACTGCTTGCTGAATTTATCATTTTTATTTTCTTTTTAGGTAGAGCACTTACCCAGAAGAAGGCATCAAAGATAAAGTTACAAGTGGTTGTGTCCTGCCCAATGTGGGTCCTGAACCAAACCTGAGTCCTCTGCAAGACCCAAACATGCTCTTACTTGCTAAACTCCCTCTCTAGCTTTCTACCTCCTCTGTCATCATGCTTTTAATTTCCTTGAGCTTCCTCTGCCACTCTGGTGTGATCCCACATTTTCATCACTTCTGCTGCCATCTACTTTAAACTTCAATTGCTCGTGTACCACTATCACATTTGGATTTTTTTCTTTCTTTGCCACAATCATCTTTTCTTCTCATTCATTTATTCTCAGTCTTTTATTTATTTTTTGGATATTTTACTCATATTTAGAAACTATGTGGTGTTTTCTTGTGGCTTGTTGAGTATTATACAACAGTATTTATGTTTAGTGTGGGGTAACAATATAGCATTTTTAAAATCAATTGTGATGTTTACTTAGTTCCCACTACTGAAAATTAAATGTAATCCATCATCTCTGGGATGTGTTTCTCTTACATTCCCACCCATTTTTCTAATACTGTGTTTTTGTTTTTGTTTTCATCTTTGACAACTGACAAAGCTCCTCACCCATATCCAAAGTTTCATGCTGTTTGTAAGTGGGCAAGGTTCTATATAATTGAGTGGGGACTGTCTCCATCTCTTATGCTCACCTGATAATGCTTTGTGTAATTTCCAGCATTTTACTGGAGCCTATTAAATTAAATTTAAAATAACTAAGAATCCTTCCAAGATTCATGTCATTTTCAGGAGAAATGAGCATCTGCCCCATTCAGTGTCTGCATGGGCAGCATGAGGACGGAAGGACACCACTATGTTCAGAGCTGCTGGCATGCCAGATGCCATTTCAAACTGGAAACCACCCAGCAACTAGCATCTGTTCAATGCTTGAGCCATGGTTGGCAGCCTACATACAAATGAACCTTTGGAATAAAACCAGTTTGTAATGCAAGAATTAAACACACTCTTAATTACCTAATTTCTCTCACAATCATCCATATTTTAGTTCTAAACTAAAAATTGCAACATGCAATTGTGAAAAAGACTAGAATTTAGGGTTAATTCGTATTTTGTAATTGCAAATTGAGGGTAAAGGGGGAAAACAGGATAAAAGCAATAAGAAAATCCCGTTCTGTCCTCACATGTGTGTTTCTTCTGTAGATTAAGAGAAGAAGGCAGGGATTCAGCTCTGTGCTCAGTAATACAGCCAAAGGCAAGAAGCAGATCATTCCCAGCAACCCCAGGACTGTCTGAATTCAGAAGGCAAAACCCTGCTACTGATATCACCATTCAAAGGTTTAAGAAATGCTGAAGGGATTTCTCTCAAACTTCTTCTATGCACATGACTATGAGGCAGAGTTCTGCCTTGGGGTTCCTAGTGCTTTATGGCAATGCTTATTCTTCTTTGTTGTAGTCTAGTCTCTTCTTTCTTTGAGCTTGGCAATATGTAATGGCAAGAGATGGTTTGAGGCCAAACAAGACCTTTCCTGCAGCTGATCCTTTTATTATTCTTGAATGTGCAGTCCTTTTCTTTGCTTGAGACATGCACTAATGCCATCAAGCTCTTTGTTTTGTTTTTATGAAACCCACCCAAGTTCAATCAGCACTATGCAACTGGTATTGCCTCTTCCACTACATCTGTCTTTACGATTCAGGAATCAGTAGTGTTCATGTGGTAGACAGGAATTAAAGCAGAGCAGAGACAGCTTTAGAGAGAAAAGAGAAACTGTAATTGACTTTTACTCAGCAGAGGAACTAAAAGGATCTAATATTCGGGGAAGATTGGTAGAAACCCTCACCCACGACCCAGTTCTGTACATAAGATGATTCTCTTCCTTTAGAATGAACTGGGGAGTAGGTGGGCATACTGCACACTGATAACTCCAGTGTTCAGGACAATGAGAAGAAGGGAACATATGTTTGAGGCTAGGTTATGCTACAAAGTAACATCAGAGAGAGAGGGAGAGAGACTGGTGTGGTGTTCTGAGAGCACACTCTCACATATGTTGACCTGGAAAATTGCTGTCAGAATTGTACAGACTGTCCCCAAAATTTATAAAGGAGCTCTTTCAAGAACATCTTTGATGTCTAGTGTCCTCATTTGGTTTTTAGAACCACTGTGGATGCTGCCCTTTATTCTGTCATTTCTTTTTCTGTGTAGCACTATGGTTTGATGTAACACCTATTGCCTGCATTTGTTTTTATTGCCTGAGCTTTTATAAGTTTTGCACGAAATATACTGCCTGTGATGATGCCATCAAGTGTCTTCTGTCTGTTTTCTTATATCATTTTCAGGGTTTTAAATTTAAGTCTGTATGTCCTTTCTTTTAGTTTCTGCACATGTGAGGGAGAAGGGTCCAATTTTCTTCTTCTCCAACAGTGTATATAGTTTTTCTAATGGGAAAAGACATGTTCAAGCTGTGCATCTAAGAGGGATTAGTGTCTAAAATATATATGAAATTCAACTCATTATCAAGAAAACCATGAAGTAGAACATAATATGGATAAATGAGCTGCACAAACATTTCTCAAAATAAAAGATGGAAATGGCAAAATGGCCTCCAAAACAATGACTACCATTGTAAAACATCATGAGAATGTTACACAAATCCACAATGAGAATTATTTTTTCTGCCAAAATTAGAATTTCTATTTTAAAAACAATAAAAGGCAATAAGTATTGGTGAGGTTGTGCACGAAAGGGAATCATTTTACACTCTTGGTTGGGAGAGCTATTAGTATAGTCATTGTGGATTATAGTGTGCAGTTTTCCTAAAAATTAAAAATGGAGCTAAGGTTTAACAAATACATCCCTCTTCTAGATGTTTGTCTGGAGGAAATGACATCAGCATGTCCATGAGACCCTGGCATTCCCGTGTTTATTGCAGTACTGTTCACCATGCGCAATGCATCTAAGCAACTGCCAGTGAACGAATGATTGAGCATATGTGGCACACATAGACGGGAGAATGCTACTCGCTGACTGCAGAGACTGGAATGCTGCAGGGAATACGTTAAGTTAAATAAAGTAGGCACCGAAACACAAACCCCATCCATAAGCTTAAAACATTGACCTCATGAAGCAGAGTAGAATGATGATTATCAGGAACAAGAGGGGTAAGGGTAAGAGGGAGAGGACAAGTGCTGGTCAAAGGGTATGTAATTATAGTCAGACAGAAGACCATCTCAGCAGACCTATTTTATAACCAGGTGACTGCAGTGAGTGCTGACATGTTTCATTCTTAAGAAATGTAAAGAGAGTTCTGGAATGTAGTCCTGCCACAAAATAACTACACGAACTAGTGAACTAGTGTTTATGGGAATTAGCTATAACCACATTACAACATTGTACCACATATGAAAACACTATACAATAGTCTCTGTCAATTTAAAACTATAATAAAATGTTTTAAATTAGTAACTAGTGGTTTTTAATGAACCTGTTATTATCATCTCATCTGGTAATGTGTGAGCAGTCAGGACACATGGGGCACAGGACTGACCCTGCACTATTAACAAAAGCAGGCAGTCCAGCTTCTATCAACTCATGCTCACAGGACAACTACACACTTTTCTTTCTCTTACTGTGGTTTATGGCTTAGGTACAATGACAAAGAAAGATCAGAATCAGATTGAGGGATGAGCCACTCATTCTTTGTTTTTAATTAGTTAGATCATTTATTTTATAGTCATACATGTATTAAACACACCCTAATGACTCTCATTCTCCACACCTTTCAAACTCTTCTCCCTGCTACAAACTCCATTCCTACATTTGTGGCTTTTGTTTTGTGATAATACTGAGTTTAACCAGAGCTGTCCCTGTGAGCACGGGTTTGGAACTATCCTTTAGAGCTTGGTGAGCTCACCAGGGGGTACGCAACTGATGACAATGACTCCTCCTCTCTCATAATCCTTCAGTAGCCAATAGTTCAGCCGTGAGGCCCTCCCCCATTCTAATTTCTGACTGGGCCAGCCTTTTGCAAGTCCACAGAAGGTAACCATAGCTGTTCTGATGAAAGCATAATTCTTTTTTTCTTCTTTTTAAAAAATGTTTTTATTATTATCACATCTTGCAGTTTATTCAATTTGTATCAGGGCTGTGGACCTCTCCCTCATCTCCTCCAAACCCCATTCTCCTTCCCATAATGCCCCTCCTCTAGTCCACTGATAGCAGAAGTCCTCCTCCTCTTCTATTTGACTCTAGCCTATCAGGTCTCATCAAGACTGGCTTCATTGTCTTCCTCTGTGTCCAGGCAAGGCTGCACCCCCTCTCCAGGTGGGGGGTGATCAGGGAGCCTGCTACTGAGTTCATGTCAGAGACAGTCCCTGCTCCCCTTACTAGGGACCCTAAGAATGCATATTTCTTAATGAATAGCTATAGGAAGTTTTCAGAGGTAAGAGAAGGTTTCTTATGTATTTTTAAAATTTTAATGGCTACTGATGAAAGGAGAGTCAGTTTTCTTTAGCAATATGGACCCCTAGCAGCTAACCAATGTTTTTGTGGATTGATCTAGACCCATACACATTATGGCATGGCTAACCAGACTTCGTGGTCAAAACAAAATAAAACAATCCGTCCAAAAAAACAAAACAAAACAAACAAACAAACAAAAAAAACAGCTCACATGAAAGAGAGAGAGAGAGTAATGGTAGAGGCAGTATTAGGAGAGTTGAAGGGAAGAGCATATGGGGTAGATTTGCTTAAAACACATTGTATGAATGCATGAAATTCTCAAATAAATACATAAATCTAATGCATCAGTCATCTTTCTAGTGCAAAATCTCAGACGAAGCGCTTTCAAAATGTACCTTTAGGGTGTGTATTCTAGTTTTTCTGGCTTGAGTATGGCTGCTGCAACCCTGACAGTGTGCATCCTAGGCTTCGGGAACTGGGGATCAGCCATTGCAAAAATAATTGGGACAAATGTCAGGAACCAGCAGTTCGCCTCCACAGTCAAGATGTGGGGCTTTGAAGAAGCAGTGAACGGGAGGAAGCTGACAGACATCATAAATCACGACCATGAAAACGTCAAGTATCTTCCAGGACACAAACTGCCAGAAAACGTGGTTGCCATCCCAAATCTCAGTGAGGCCGTACAGGATGCAGAACTGCTGGTACCCACCACCCCACACCAGTTCATTCACAAAATCTGTAATGGAATTATGGGCACAGTGCCCAAGAAGGCTCTCGGCATCGCACACAATGAGGCCATAACTGAAGGCCCAGGAGGGCTGATGTTCATCTCTGACATCATTCCAGAGAAGATCGGGATGGACATCAGTGTGCTGATGGGGGCTAACACAGCCAGCGAGATGGCTGCTGGGAAGTTTTGTGAGACTACCATTGGCAGCAGAGTCATTGAGAATGGCCTTCTCTTCAAAGATCTGCTACAGACCCTCAACTTCCGCATCACTGTGGTGAATGATGCTGATGCTGTGGAACTCTGCGGAGCACTGAAAAGCATTGTTGCTATGGGAACCACCTTCTGTGATGGCCTCCACTGCGGGAACAACAGTAAGGCTGCTATCATCAGCCTCGGCCTTGTAGAAATAATCACTTTCGCCAGGATCTTCTGCAAGGGCCAGGTGTCCACAGCCACCTTCCTGGAGAGCTGCGGCTTGGCCCACCTTATCACTACCTCTTATGGAGGGCAAGACTGCCAGGTGGTCAAGACCTTCCGCAGGACTGGGAAACCTATTGAAAAACTCGAGCAGGAGGTGTTGAACGAGCAGAAGCTTCAAGGACTTGAGACCTCTATTGTAGTATACCGCTTCCTTAAGCAGAGGGGGCTTCTAGACAAGTTTCCATTGTTCACAACAGTTTACCAGATTTGCTACAAAGGCAGACCTCCCACAGAGATGATAACCTGCCTCCAGAGACATCCTGCACATGTATGAAGGGCATCTGGCAATGGCTGGGAGAGGCCTGCCCCACCTACAGGGGTGGTAGGGAGAACAACAATGATGGCCACACTTGAAAACCAGGACCTGACAAGTATTTAAATATATTTAAATATAATCTAAGATACTGAGTATGGATAAAGTTGTGGGAAGCAGTTCATTGAGATGTATAGCGTAACAGCTAAGTACAATTATGAACATATGTGTATGTGTGTTCATTCTCATCATATGTGCTTCTATGATCCAAAACTAGGCACACTCTTTCATCCTCCTAAAGTGAGTCTGTCTAAGACATCACTGGGCCTCTTTAACATCCAAGGTTGCTTTTTTTTTTTTTTTTTTTTTTTCAGAAACCAAGGGAGCTCTAGAGAGCTGTAGGTATGACTTAAAGATCACAAATTCATCATTATCATGACCACTCTTAGAAATTCAGGTTCCTAGTCCAACCCCCAGGCCTCTGGAGTGACTCCTGTGCTTTAGTATGACCCCCTCAAGTTCATGGTGCTTACTGCAATTTGAGAACCAGCAGGCTAGAGAAAGTATTTCAGTGTGACCTTGTTTGAACTGTGTTCTATAGGAGATCCTAGATATAAATTGTCCCTGGGTCCAGTGGCTGTTCCAGGAGGACTTTGGAATGGTCAAGTACATTTGGGAACAGCTGCATCATACCATGTTCAGAAGGTGTAACCTGGATACTAGAACCTTAGTAGAACCAGCAAAGCCTAAACACCTTAGACTAGGGACATTATTTTTGACAAGGATATTAGAAGTTTCTAGGGAATACTGATGTGAGGTGATCCTCATTTTGTGAAAAAAAAGAGAGAGAGAGAGAGATGAGTAACTGCCTATGACGTTGCTTGTTCTATGTCACCTAGACTAGCCTCAAACATGTCATATTCTTCCTCTGCCTCTTGAGTTGTTGGGATTACAGATGTATGCCTCTATGCCTAATGATGTAGTTTGGGGCGTTTTAAAGTTCAGTTCTGCCCTAAATCATTGAGTAAGCTTTCAGGTGACACTTTCAGCTGTAGACAACCTGAAATTCACATTATATATTTAATTCCACAACTAAAATGGTAATGACTGATATATATGCATGAGAACACACAAATGTCATACTGTCATGTGACTCTTCCATCCTGGTTGGGCATGGTTTTCTCCTTCTATAACTAAAAAGATTATAAAATATATATTTTGTTGAAATTTTAAGAAGTACCCAAAGAAGCATTTTGGAGCATTTTACAGCCCAAGAAAGCACACAACAGGTTACATATTTCAGCAATTTAAAAAAGTGTTTTATGTTAATTTTTAATCTCCCAATCAATCTTTTTAAAGGTTTGTACATTGACAAAAAAGAGTTACTTTTCAATATATAAAAGGTGTTGCAAGCCAACTACTAAGTCATGTGGAAGGACAAGGAGGGAAGAGAATTGTGGATTTTGCATTCAACTTCATCTTTGGGTTTTGTACTTCCAGATAATTTCTTCCTAAATGATCCTTCTAATTTTAAAGTCTGATGCTGTCCATCTAGAACAGTGTATTCTCAACCTTCTTAATGCTGCAACCCTTTAATGCAGTTCCTCCTGTGTGGTGATCCCCAACCATAAAATTATTTTGTTGCTACTTTACAACTCCTGTTTTGCTAGTTTTGAATTGTAATGCATGTATCTGATATGCAGGATATCTAATATGTGACCCCCAAAGAGGTTGTGACCCACAGGTCGAGAACCGCTGATCTAGAACATGCTTACCATAATCTGTACATGACAGTAAAAGCAATTTAAGTCTGAGGTCCTAAAACTGCAGGTAGAAATTCATTTGCATCGTCTGCTTTTGTAATCATGCATTGATGATGCTTCTTACTAGCTGTGACAAGGGGGAAGGTGGCACCTAGGTTAGAAACTCAGTTTGTGTGAAGCTCCATCTCTGCATTGCAGCTGACTTCCTTACTACAGTGTGGGACAAAGCCCTGCCTAGCTCCAGGGAATGGAGCTAGATGGTGGTTTGGTAAGATACCAAAGTCCAAGGGAAATTTTAATTTTTCAGCTAGTTCTGATCGGCTAGCCTCTAACCTACACATACACTGCATTTATTTATTAACTATAGATGGATATATAATGCAAGGGTATAATAAAAAAACATTTAATTTCTCAAAAGAGAAAGAAAGAAAGCAACGTAAACACCTTTACTATCTGTGCCCACAGAGCATCAAGAATCGAACTGGAAACAAATAAAAACACAACTCAGTATCAGAAAGCATTACTTGTATACTGGCTCCACGAATGTTAAGGGGTTTATGTTTGTTTCTGTTTTCACTTATTCATAAAATGTTCCCCGTCTTGTCTCATTTATTGCTTTATGGTCCAAAGCTCTCAACATTCTATCATGAACCCAGCGCATATACCTGATAAATATGCATTGAATGAAAAAAATAGCATGAATGAAGATGATACATGAGTGTGGATAACGAATGGAATTAAACTGAGAAGATTGGAAGAAGTTAAGTATTGAGATGACTTTTTCCTTCCTCAGACAGTGATAGGATTTAAGAAAAATGGAGGGCACAGGGTCTTTTTTGAGACTGACACTCAACCAAGGACCATCTATGGATATAACCTAGAACTTCTGCTCGGATGTGGCCCGTGGTAGCTCAGTAACCAAGTAGTTTTCCAAAGTAAGGGGAACAAGGACTATTTCTAACAGGATCTCAAGGGCAGGCTCTTTGACACCCCCCCCCAGGGGAGGAGCAGTCCTGTTAGGCCACAGAGGAGGACTTTGCAGCCAGCCCTGAAGATACCTGATAAAACAGGGTCAAATGAAAGGGGAGGAGGTCCTCCCCTATCAGTGGACTTGGAAAGGGGCAGGGAGGAGACCAGGGAGGGAGTGTGGGGTTGGGGAGAGAATGAGGGAGTGGAATACAGCTGGGACACAGAGTTAACAAAATGTAACTAAAAAGAAAAATAAAATAAAAAAAAAGAAATAAAAAAAAGAAAAATGGAATTTCTTTGTTGTCTTTGGGTATTAAGATTATAAGAATTTTTATATTGAAATATTCTCAATGAGTGGTACTAGAAAATGGTATTGGCTGAATATCTTTCTTTAATGCAGAGGATGCTTGATTATAATTTTAAGAGAACGTGATAGACTTTGTTGACATTTCATTCATATATTTAAAAACACAGCTATATCATTACTCTGGCACCATGGAAGACACTCCATTTGTAACGGGCCTTGAAAGGCTGGAGCTTGGATGTAGGACTCCTTCCCATAAAGGCAGGTATAGATGCAAGACACCTGAACCTGGGCAATGTGTCTAGAACCCAGTCTTGGCAGTAGTCAAAGGATAATGGTAACCATTGATGTCACTCTGAACAACAGTTGTCTAAGTTCCAAACCTGAAAAAATAAACTGTCACCATGGTGAACAGGATAGACATGGATTGGTAGCTCTTGCTCTCACAGACTCCCCTATGTAACTCATGAGACAGGTAGAAAGTGTTCAGTCCAATGTGATGTTTGATGTTATCCTTCTCATGCTGTACAGGATCCAGGGTATCCTTATTCAGGTGAAAATCCTACAAGACTAGCTTTTCAGTGTGTTGAGACGTTATTCCTTGTGCCTTGAGCTGAAGTCTTTAGGATTACATCAGGATTACTACAGTATACAGCAGGGAAGATGTTGGATTACATCATGAAGAATAAAGAATTTGCCACTGTGTGGCACTTTGCTTTGACGAGACCAAGTCTGTAGTTGAACTCACAGCAACTTATCAGAAAGAAAAGCAGGCTATCATCACACCGCCTTCCACAGAAAACACAGCATTCAGGGCTTTTATTGAGAGCTATAGTCATAGGCGGAAGATTCTACACTCCTGCAGACAACAAAAAAGGAAGCACATGCCCTTTTGAGAACCTCATAAACAATGTGTCCTTTCAACCCAGCTGCTGCCTCCTGCACTGATGGGTTCACCGTCCCAGCAACGCATACTGCATCAGAATCAGAACCCCAAACAGGAAACCCATAGACTCTTCTCCAACGGTAGGTTCTTAGCTTCCACACCATTTCAGGTTGAAAATGAACAGCATGCAAGCTGTCTAGTTACTGTTACTCAAAAAGAAGGCAAATCCCTTTAAATGAATCCAGGGCATATAGCATTGCCACTAAGCTTGAAAGGACACAGTTATCTCCAGAGGGCAAAGGAAAGCTTGGCAGGAAGACCTTAGCACAAAGAAAGCCCAATCCTCTGCACTGAACAATAACTTCCTATGACAAAGGTCCCTCAGGATGCCCTATAGCACTGTCTTCATGATGAGCAGGAGAAAATGCACAACTGAAACATATACGGCTGTTTCTAAGGAGTGTTTGTTCATAGGGATGAGAAAAAGCAACTACTACATAGGATACAGACTAGCTAGACCAAAAGAGCAATGTATTTCAGGGCTCAGGCAGGCATGAAGACTTCTTGTCAGACTTGGAATAGAATTCAGGATATCTCTGAGGTTCCTGGTACTGCCTCCAGGAGGCATGGCAAATTTTATTTAATATTTTCACAAGTTATGCCTCATAATTCAAATTCCAGGGAGACACCATCTGATTGACTCCTGACTCTTATCTGGGGAAGCACATGTCACTTCATTAACTGTCAAATTAGACTGAAAAAGAGACAGTTTTCCTGAGCATATAAGGTTTTCTGCTCTTTCCATAAATCATGTAGTGGATGCAGAATAAGCAGAAGCACAAAAGGCCCATCTTAGCTCCTACCAGGCTTGTGGTTCTTTGGGACTGTGGCCACATTATATGTGGAATTCCAAGGCCTGGGGCTCATGACCTGACTCTGTGAGTTTTTAACTACAAGAGAGAAATAGCTTAATATTCCTGTATCATAACAACTACAGAGTTGGTATTCCAAACAAAATTAGAAACGTCCATTATCCTCCCTACATGTGCTTAGCATCGCTGGATATGAAGGATTCCTTAGTGTGGAAAGCTGAAAAGAC